AAATGATGTGCAGGAGCAATGGGACAGGAAGCCGTTTCAGGAAGTCATAGGTACCTTGGCACACATTGAGGACGTTCCAGAACTCTGGCACCAAACACTACAGCAATCTGAACTGAGAAAAAAAATGAAACCAAATACAAGAGACAACAGATTTGTAAAAGCCTGAAATTTCTTTCCAATAATCTCAAGTTATGCCGGTACAATAAAAAAAAAAAAGACAAGACAAGACAAAACAAAACAAAACAAAAAAATCCAACAGAAAGTCAGCTTTTTTATCCTATGATTTTCTAGAGAAAATATTATTTAACATGAATATTCAGATTAATTTTTGGATCTATTTTTCCACATATATATATATTTTTATGTAAAGACTATGCTATTTACTCAGAGGGAGGTTGTAAAACAACTGAAAAAAGTACTTCAGTCATATGCTTTGGGGAAAATAATGATGGCTCTGACATCACAAGTCCCTGTAGCTCTGCTTCTTATCTTATATAGGTACAGTTAAACCAACATGAAATTGCAGGCAGTTTCCTTCTACAGGGATGTGTCATTTTTTGACTCATTCCTTTGTGATCCAGTACCACAACAAATTGTCCTTCTGTAAGTCTCCTACCTAGTGAGCAACTGCCCATCCCACAGTCAGCCAACTATTTCTGCTTCTGTGTCCAACTTGGAACTTGACCTTTTTAGTTTACCACTGTTTTCTTCAGATCACTTATCTATTTTATCAAATTTCTCTAATAAAATTACTGGTTCACTACAAAATAGAATCCTGAATTCAATTTGCTACACTATTAATGAATAATCAGTGGTACATTTTGAAGCTGCATGTTGTTTTCTAACAAAATGAATGCAGCCATCCAGATTTGTATAAGATTTTTTTTCCTTGTTTTTCATGGAAATTGAAACTATACTGACTACAGGCCTACAGCAGTTTTCCTTCCAAGGTGTTTTTTAAAAATTAATTACAAAACTCAGTATTATGTGAATACATTTGAAAGAGCTTTGAAAATGACAAAATTTTACTGTTAAGGTGTTAAGATTTTTTTCTTCTTCTCCCCGCCCCAAATATTCCTGAGGTAAACATGTTGGAGGAAGATATCACCTTATCTTCCTTCATGTCTTTGGGTAGGTGGCCCAATATTCTGCAGCTCTCTTTTCCATGCTGTATCACACTGCAGAAATCAGTTTGCTGTCAGTTCTCCTTTGCTTTTTTGTGTTCCAAGCATCTCAGTTCTATATGGTTGGTAATTTCCCTCAAATTTCTTATGCAAGTACAAAATGATCTACACAGTCAACTAAAAATGGTCGGGCTGATCTAATTCAAGCTGATATGAAAGAATGGTTCAAATCTTCTCATCCTGGGAATGATGAAGATAAGTATTTTCACTGCACCTCTTTTTAATGTTGAATGATTAAGCAGGTTACCACACAAATATTTGACTTTTTCTATATTAGAAATTATTTATTTCTAGAAATAATATTGTGATCTGGTTTGGCTATTCTAAAATATATTGAGTATTTAATTTTTTTCTTAATGTATGTGAAACTAACAATGAACTAACTGTGAAAATCAATTTAATTTTATGTTTTCTATGACACTTTCATTCTGAAAGTGCTGGAGAATATTTGATGACTTGTACTAATTGTTCACTCATCCATAAATATAAGTAGACCTCTCTTTCTTGCTCGACACTATCATCAATTAATTTTCTGTCATTGCAAAACCAAATACAAAACCTTGCTCTATCCTATTGGCTTCATGAAATTATGAAAAGAAACATAATGGTATGTTATTTGCCTGCCCCAAAAGAACAGAAAACATCTTAAAACAAACATGGATGTTTACAGTTGTATATAAATTTAGTAAAATGGTAATGTTAATAGTACGGGCACCTTATGAAAAAATGTTCTCTAAAATTACAATCACATGAAAAGAGATAAAATCACAGGAATGAAACCCAGGAGATAATTACAGGACATACCAACACATAACAGGAAACATTTTAGTGGCAGGAGTGTACCAAATATTTAGCAGCAAACCATGGATATGGTGAGAAGTATTTGTTTGAATTCTCAAATAAATCAGTATGGATAGCAATAATATTTTCCCAGAATATATTCTTCCAGTGTGTATATAGATATATCTGTGAAGAATTAATAGAAAATAGTGTGTGAATACTTAGGAGAAGCAAATCACTTTACAGGAGGTGAGGAGGTGTAAAAACATCTGATTGTGTGGAACAGCAAGAACTAGGGACAAAAATAATATCAGTATGACAATACAACTCAAAAACATTGTAATTTATACTTGTAATACTTCTATTTATGTTAGCATTTTTCTGAAAATAAAACACCCTTATTTTATATTACACTTTTAATGAAAAATAGAGGGAAACTCCCCCCCAATCTTAGAGATACTTTTAGAAAGAGAAAGAAATGACTACATCTCAGGAAAGAATGGCAACTATGGCTTTCAATACTTCCTGTAGGAAAGGAAACCTCTGAACCACCAAAAAGATTTTTCAAGAAAAAGCAGGCAGCACTTATTTATAACCTACCAAATTATTTGTAACCTACTAAAACCACAGAATACCAGCAGAAAACTGCTTGCTAACAATAATTTAATTATCTAAATCATTGCACCCACATAATGTAAAACAGATGTTTCATTGTGACATCATATTAACATCAAATGCTGCAGGAAAACCTTACACTACAAGCAATGAGTAAAAACCAAAAAGCTAGGATCCTTCTCACCAGCATATATTCACATCTCAAATCTACTTTTATAAGGTAAATAAAAAGAAGAGGTCAACAAAAAGAGTATAGAAGACTACTTCTTTGAAAGGTCAAATTTATAAAAAATGATGAACAATTTTGCCATGAATTAAAATGTGGTACAACTTTTTTGCTTCAACTAGGAGCAATTAGGAACATCTGCAAAACCCCAACATATTTAAAGACTGTCTGAGCCTGAGCCAAGTTCAACAGGCAGTCCATTTTCTGTTGGTTCAGGACTATTTATTCCCCTCTTAGTCAAAACAAGCAGTAAGAACTGGAATTAAAGATTGGTTTTGTCATGAACTGTGAGTGCTGATTGAAACTTTTTCCATGGCTTGTGTATATATATGCAGTCCCTTGAGCTCAGAATGTGCAGCCTTTCTATCCATGGAACACTAACAGGGCTTGCTACCCAACAGCCTAAGGTGGTGGTATTATTTCTACCAAGTTCACCTGAAACTGATCCATTGCAAAAGTTGTAATAGGGAATCAGAAACACAAATGTGACAAACACAAACCTAAACATAGAAATGCAGGCCACATGAACTCAGCAGGGCTAAAAATCTCTCAGTTGTGCTGTAGGAAGTGTTAGAGTTTAATAAGCAAAGCATAGAGAATGTGTTTGTCTTATCTGAGACTATGGATGAAGATACACTCCAATTTATTCTTGAAAGGAGATAAATAGTTGTACCCTCCTGCTACTCCCTACCTCTTTCCCAAGCTTACCATACTTCTTGGGAAAGCAGATCTCCTCCACCTCAGTGTAAATAATCACAGAATCACCAAGGCTGGATGAGACCTTCAAGATGATCCAGTCCAAGCATCAGCCCAGCACCACCATAATTATCCCTAAATCATTCTCCAAGTGTCACATCCAGACACCTCTTGAACACTTCCAGAGAAAGTGACTCCAGCACCTCTCTGAAGAATTTACTCAAATAAGATGATGATTACATAAGATGATTCAGTAAGATCACGTCTACTAAAGTTGTTGATGAGAAAAACAAAACTGCATTTCAACATGATGCTTTTCAAGTTCATAATAAAACAAGGATAATTATGAAGTCACATCTGTAAATAATTTTTTAATGTCTTACTGAATCAGAATAGAAAACCAGTTTATTTTTAAAAAATCAAGATCTCACCAACCCAAGGTGTTTTGTGCTATCAGGTCTTGGGCTGCAAAAGAGACTGCAGGCGCAGTTATGAACTCCATTTCCAGACTAGGCCATAGCTCACCTCACCTATCCCCAGCAGTTGCTGAATTAACATGTCTTTGGCTTAGTATTTTCAGAAGACTGATTACTCTGTGAACCTTGATCAACCTTATCTTGTGACATGACCACCCCTCAAGTTAATCTGTTACTGGGAACCAAAATTATAAGATGCAGAGCAATAACTACCTGGGACACATAGTTCCATGGAACTTTGGGAAAATGCATCATTATTTCAGATGTTCTCAGTGGCCAGTCTATCTCTGAGGCTAATTTAATGGTGTCCCCACTGCCTTTCTTTTCCTGGCTGTCTGCTCCTGAAGTAATTTTGCACTTGTATAGTCCCAATCACCTGTTGCATTAGCAGTTGATTGTGTCAAATTAGATTGGGAATTCAAATCTGGGTAGCTCACAACATAGCCATAGAAACAAATGTGCTGGTACAGAGCATTATGAGTTATTAGCCATAAGAATGTTGCTTTCTGCCTATATTTGTTTCTAAAATCTCTGTCATCATCTTATAATGAAACTATCAGTGTTGCTGGGCTTTATAATATATTTAGGTTTTCTGTCACATATATTTTTTTTCCATTATTCATACATTAATTTATATTAATTAATTAATAGGAAAAAGTATGTTAGCCAAAGTTCATTAAATTTATTGTCGATCAATATTGCTAGATTATTCCATTATATGGACAACTGTGAAAGAAAAGAAAGGAAAAAGGTAGATGAAATTAATATTAATAAAGTACCATGAGAAAAATATATTACCAGATTCAGGATTGGGGTTATGTAAATATTACTACAGTTGCAAAAGAAAGTTTTCCTAAAAGATCAGACCACAGTTACATTACCAGTGGCTTCAAGGGACAAACATCCCATAATGCACCTGCAACAAGTGTAAAATGTTTTAACAATCCCTGCATGCAAATTGTCTATAGAAATAAACACACACTTCACACACAAGGTATCTCAACAGGCAAGATTATAAATATTCTGGTTTTCTTTCTCATTTATTCATAGAATCACAATGTATCAGGCATTAAATTATGTGGTTAAGTAGAAATACCCATCCAACTGCGCAGGCATTCAAAAGTGATGGCTTAGAAGTTAAACTGGGATTTTAACATTTTGTAGAAATCAAAACTAATAGGACAGTTCAAAGCTCAGTACTTAAGACTGTCTGAAAACTCTAGCAAAAGCTCTCCAGAAGTACACGTTCAACTCACATTTTCAGAGACGGAAAAAGAAAAGAAAATCTGCATTACAAAGCATGCAACTGAGACAAAAAAATTAACATGAATAGTAAACTAGATAGCTATGAAATGATGGAGTATAAATAGTCCTAACTACCAGTAATTTTCCCAGAGTTGTCTGGGAAAACATTACATATGTGCTTGAACAGTATGTTGCCTTTTAACACTGACTTTCTTTTTGTTGCTGTCACAGCTGGGCCTACACGAGAGGAAAGTCATCATCATTCACACAAGCTGCTCATAAAGAGCACGCTCCAAGCCACAAGGAAAATTCACTTGCTATTATAGACAAGGTTATAAAACCCCATCTATTCCAGTGTTACTGACATTAATCTAGTTTATTTCCTTCCATTTAATTGAAAAAAGTCAGGAATTTACACTGTTGTATCTATAGCTGGGTTCCTGACATGAGTGATAAAACTGACAAATGAGAATATTAGTGAGCTGAGCATTTATAAACACATTCACATACATTTGTAGATTAAAAAAAAGTACTCTATAGATCTTGTTTTTTCTACTGGCATGCCAAAAAGGAAAATTAAAAGCAAACCTTGAGTTAATTGTCAATACTTCCATTTACTGACTGAAAAACACAGAGTTACTTAAAAAAAAAAAAATCTTAGCTCTGACAACAGTGGTATGCATCTGTCAACATCAAATTTAACTTTAGATCTTTCCAGTATTTCACTGCTACAATGTAGGTTTTAAAGTTGAGCATTAAGTATTTGTAACTCCAATGAGTTGTATTCAGTTTAATCACAAATTTTCAAAGTAAAGCTCAGATTCCAGATGATCAGCTAAGGCAGACCTACACCAATTATGTCCATATTTTTCAAGTTTTTATTTTATCCTGTTGACTATACAGCAGCAGTAAATGAGTTTGAATAAATGCTTAACATCTTTATCTGAATGTCAAATATAGCCATGTAAAAATTATAATTTTGATGGTTATTGTGGCTAATATATCACCATATGGGGTAATCATAATGGCTAAATCATATATCTGATTGCATACGTACGAAATAGCTTTGATTAACACTCAGAGATACGTGCAGTACTCAACAAAACAACCTTATTGTGTGAAGAAAAGGAAAAAGTCCTACTCAGTTACCTAAGTTCATTTTATTTCACAATACAGTCTCTAGTCCTTTGTGGTGAAACAGTTGCATCTTTGAAGGCAAAAAAGCCCATATTCATCCAAACTGCATTCTAGAATTACATATATGGAAAATGAATAATACCATTGAAACCTTTGATACAGTGGAATTAACATTTCTGTGATGCACATGCACAATATAGACTACCATGTTGTTAAAATAACACCATTTCATACCTGAGTGGTAATGAGTATTCAATGCAAAAGGGACTATAAAGCCCTTGTTACTCTGTTTCATAGATGATGTTACTACCTGGGAAGGCTTTAGAAGTTGAATGTTTGCAGCCCAGGACAGGGATAATAGGACAGTGAATGCTCTACTGTACTTCCTGAAGCTCTTTTTATCTCTAGCAGTGTAGGGAGAAGCAACACACAAGGCTACTTCCATTCTTGTCTGTGGAAAACATGAGGTGAGAATAAGGTCAAAACAAAACTGATACAACAATAGAGAAAGAAAAGACATATCTAACATGTTCCTCATCTTGCATAGCCTTCAACATGGTCCTCAAGAATACCGTATATATGAGAAAAAAACCCATTGTTAAAGGAGAAAAGAAACATGGTTAATAGGCTTTCCCCTGGCCTTTTCCTGTTACTGCTGGAAGTGATATTTCTTTTAAAAACAAAAAAACAAACAAACAAACACATTTCTCAGCATGAAAATGCCAAGTGTACTGAAAAATAAAATAGCTACCTGGCCCCAGAACCACTTACCAAAACTGATTAATAACTGTTGCTTTTAAACTTTTAAACTTGCATACCTAACAATGTTCTACAGATTAAATCTATAAGTCTATACAGAAAATTAACCATACACAATTTTATAAGTCTGATTCTTAAAAAAGAAGAGCTGTGTTGCACCAGAGATTACAATGTGTTGGGATTTGCAATAAAATACATTAATCAATACTTTTCAATCTGGGAACAGTGCAACAGTGCAACAAAACAAAGTGTGTACAGATAGAAAATACTCAATATCTGCACTGCTGTAAGCAAGACAAACTTTTCACAGTAAATATTCTAAATAGTTTTTGTTCATTATTTTGTGTATATGAGTGAATTTATCTATAACGTAAGCTTAAATATGTGTGAGTGTCCAAGAATATATTTATTCCAAACACTAGAGTGGGTTTATGTGTGTTTAGACTCTTGAAAAAGGTTTTTATCTTTACAGAATCTAACAAACTTTAAAATGGAATATAAGCCAATATTCTGCAAATTAAATGCACTTGTCCATTACAGCAGATGTTTTAATATGGGTATAAAAATTTACTTTCTTGCAGTATTATTGTACAATTCCAAGTTCTTGTTTTATAAATTCCAATGCATTTTTATTGGGATTTCAAAGAAACTACACAAATACATACTTTCATAATATTGCCTCCTTTTAATTGCTGTACCAGGAACACACTGCTGTAGAACTGTGACAAAATGAAAAGATCAGGCCAACATGCAGAGGCACAGGGAAAGTAAAATATTCAAGTAATGGGGATCACTGGGATTTTTTGAAACATTATTCTTTGACTTCCAGTAGAACAAACTGTCAATAGCACCACTCCATTAAAAAACTGCTTTATGCACAAATATCCAGGACAAAATGCAGTTACCTTGGTAATTCGTTAGCATGTGGTTATTTCAAATAAAAATATTGCATAGATTTTATAATACTATACTATTTGCATAGATTAAAAGATGAAGAATGGAAAGTGTTATGAGTGCATCCTGGTTACCATGGACACATTCCATTCTCAATGTTATTTGGAGGTGCAAGTGGTAAAGGAATTCACTACCACACTGCCTATTCCATAGGCATTTTCTTCATTAAAAAAGAGAGAAGAGGAAAGAATGAGCAAACCCAAATATAAACAGCAGCAACTAAACAAAGCTTCAGGTAAAAAGTCATTGCAATTTTTTTAACAATTAAAACAACTAATATTTAAGTGAAAATTAGCAAAAATTAAACTATTTAGGAAATATCTGTGAATTAATTAATTGTGAAATTAATCTGAACTATAGATTACCAGAAGTACAGAACTCTTTACATTGTCTGAGAAATTAATATTTGAAATTTGTCATATGGTGATCCATCTTTTAAGGATGTAGGTCTTATTCTTTCTTTAATCTCATTCGGAAGCTATAGAAGTAAAGATAAGTCTCACACGTCACACTCATCCTGTACAATAAGAAACCTCTGGGGGAAGCTGAGACAGACAGTGTGAATTGTGAAACCCTGTACAAAGGCAAATATGAGAAACTTTCTCCTTTCCCAGTACACATTATTAGGATTTCAAACTTCTTCATATTCAACTGGTAACTCAAAATACAGTTTCTCTGATTACAGACTATATGGAGGTTAACTTTTCCCTTAAATTATTCTCCTTTAAATAGTTAAATATTTCCTCTTAATTATTCTTCTTTGAAAATTTAAACATTCAACACATCGAAGGAAGGTGACTACAGAATCTCAAAAATAACATTTTTGAGATTCAGGAGATCTAGATTCAAACATCTTCCTCTGTCCCGGGTGAATGGCCTAAATCCCCAGTCTTTGTTTTTAGCCTTGGATTTGTTACTACACTCCAAGATCTCATTCCACTATACAGTGAAGGAGCCATTGTGTCTTCTACAGAGAAAATGTCACATTCTCAATTAGTCTTAAATCCCTTTTCCCAGATTATTTTATCAGATATTATATTAGTTCTCCATCATGTTTTTGTTTTTGTTTTTGTTTTTGTTTGTTTTTTTAAACACCTGTGCTTTTGGTTGGGTTTTGTAGATTGAAGAAGACCATAAAATCTTGATTTCAAAATTAGAGCGTTCAAATGCTTCTGTCACTCATTTTATCATTTTATCTTTTTTTCTCTTGCACAGTATTGTTGCATTGCACAGTATTGTTGCATTCAATACATATTGTTGTATTGAAGGGACAGCAAAATTATCAGAGGGAATAAAATATTACTCTAGAGGATCAGAGTCTTCACTTATGATCATGATACTTGCCATTTATTAATGTGGTTAAACAGGCAGACCTAGATCAGAATGCCACAAAGAGATTATTCCACTACTTAACAAAACAAGGCATGCAAGCTAAGTGCAAGACATAACATCCCTTTCTAGATGGATAAGACATGGACAGGTTTAATTTAAAACCATTTCCTTTAGTTTTGTCTTCCTTAATTCAGTTTCAAGGTCTCCCTCTTAAAATTTCATGTCTAGTCAATGCTTTGAATTTTTTTTGATGTTTGAGTTTGTTTCCTCTTTATTAGAGTAAAAAACTCCAAATAACATAACAGAGCAGTCAGACTTTTGCTCTCTGTATAAAATGTCCTGAAGTACAGCAGTGTTACAGTGCAAAGTAATTTTTAGGGAATCTGCACCTCTTTTAGTAAGTGTCTGTACATATAAATGGCAATGCTTTTTGTTACAGATGAAGTCTTAGTTAAATCATCCCACTGCTCCCTTCTTGGATACTTCTTATCTTCCTGATTTGCATATATCTGCCACCAGTTTAATCTAATATCGGCTGAGAACTCTTTTCCTATATTCGTATGTGGGCAGCTCACTTGCAGCACCGACATCTCCTACTCTAAATTTTTAGGAACATGTATTGCACTGGTCCCTAAAATCTCACATTTTTTAAGAACAGACTAACACTATCAGTGTGTTTTTCAAAGTTCCCTTGCTGTCTATTTACAGCTTTAATTCCACCTCAAATCAGAAGACAGGAACACTATAGAATCTATCACATGGTGCAGACATTCTCATATATTTCACTCCTACGCACATCTCCAGTTTTTAGAAAAAGCTGTGTTAACAAGTGTGCCCTTTCTCTCCATCAGTTATCAGCCCAGTACTACAGGTAGCATGTGCTACTTCTTGGTTGATTTTTTTTCCTGTTTCTTCAAACACTAGGATTTTTTCAGTCCAATTTCAATTACTCATTTTACATGAAACTTAACACCGATTACCTTTAGGTTTCAGTCTCATTACAAACTGCATAAGAGGAAAGAACTGTACAACTCAAATGTAGCACCAACTTAGCAAAAGCTGAAATCTCTTATTATAATTTGTCATGATAATTTGATATGCACGTGTATTAAAACATACATTGCATTTTCTGTCACAAGTATCTGCTTGCTTTTTTGATGCTTTTCAGCTACACAGCTTCCCTGCTTGCAATCCCCATCTGCTGTCATTCCTTTCACTCCATTGTTCACTATCATCCTATTATGTTATTTAGAACTCTGGCTTCAGACATGGTCCTAGGCTTCTGCTTCTACAGTATTATTTTGAGGTTTTCAACAAATGATTTCTATCATTTTATTGTGCAGTAGTGTTCATTCTTCTAGTTCCCACCCTTCTCCAGGTAATTTGGGTAATTCAGGCTTCAGCCAACAAATGACATTTACACTGGTTGTACCCAATGCACAATTTTAATCTAATTTTGTGAAGTCCATCCAAAAGCTGCAGGCACTTTTACTTTGGTTTTATTTAGTTTTATTTCAGTTTAACACAAACTGATTTAGTTTATATCAAATCAAAATCAAGCAAATCTTTAGAATAAAAATCCACAGAGCAATTTAGACTAGAAACTTTATTTAAAAATTATTTCTAGGTTCCTTTTATAGCCTATCTCACATTGAGATAAAAATTTGGAACCTTTTCTAGCTTTGCCTTCTACATGTCTTACCTTCTTTCCCTTGAACACTTGGCTGAGTGCATTTAATTACATTGGATAAATGAAAAAAGTATAAATATATGGTATGCTTCATCAAGGAAACATATCTGACAGTTCATCATGAATGCTACTGTGTATATGGAAAATGAAATAATGTATACAGCTGTTGGTTAATAAAGCAACAGAAAAAAGCAATAATTGTATTTCTAACTTGAAGCAGGAAAAAGGAAAACAAAATAGGCAAGAACACAAACTTACCTTTGGTAACATGAAAGCAGAATTCCTCCTGAGGTATCCCAAGACAGAACAAAGATTGATAAGGATTTCCTACCTATGTAAGGCAAGTAATAAATATAACTAAATCTTTCTTTGTATCTAAAGGGCAAGCACTAGCAATAAGGAACATGTGAACATGACTTGGTTACAGCAAGAAATATTTACATTATTAAGCAGAAAGTAGTTGTGATTGCTTACCTTGAGAAACTATAACACCTTCACAAACTGAAAATCATCCTTGACAGGCACGACTAATTAAGTATGATACTTTTAAAGAAAGCTACAAATATTAAAACCATGCATAATACTAAAAATTGGAGTTTAAACATTGCAATTCTGTGAGATCCTGCTGTCTGTATATTAACTAGTTATAAGTAGACAAAACCCAGCTAAGACAAAAGTAAAAAATGTATCTCTAGGCTACCAGTGATATAGTAAAACCAGGTTAATAGCAAATTAACTAAGATTACTTTATCATCTTTAACATACCTCAGTTAAAACTGATACGAGAATATTCCAATGCATCTTCAAATAACAGCTCAACCACTACTGAGAAAGGATTTTATAAGCCCACACAACAGCACTGCATTATCATAGGCTCACTTAGAACTCAACCTCACAAGTAATAAGCATTCCATATAAGATATATATCTAATTTCAAATCAATAAATGAATGTTTCACAGGGTTAAGCATTTGGTAATGTTTGTGAGGAAAAAAACCCCAAAACAACAACCCTCCAAAAAAGAGAATTGAGCCTTCTGGGAAAGTAAAAACCTACCACTTACATTGCTGTATTTAATGCCTTTTGTAGAGAAATCTTGCTCCACTAATAATGAAAGCCCTGAAATTCCAGCATTGCCAGTGCAACACATCACAAATTGCATTTCAGTTGTTAAAAGCCCAAATTTTCCTATGTCAGTTCTTGTGCTGTATTACATCTTCAATATTGCAGCATGACCAAAGAATTCCCAAATCTTCCCCAAAACCATTTGGATAAGATCTAGCAACTGCATACACTCAAAGGTGGCACATCACAGAAGAAGTGAGAGATACCATCAGGCATCCAAACTGTAACACATCATAACACTGCTAAACTAACTTATTTTAGTTTTGGACAGACACCTGACAGCAATATTCATGTTTTTCCAGTGCAGCATTATTTCCCCAGAGAAACTGTCTCCATTTTCTCCAAGTAGCTCTACAGCTTACTTTGATATCTGATTTAGAGACAGCAGAAAAAGCAAAGGCAATTTGCCTATGTATTTTAGGCTTGATGAACATTCTCCTGATAATAACTGCTTAATACTGTGTGATAGCATTACTATGAAAATGTTTGATTCTTTTGGAAATATACCTTTTCAGCATAGCAGAGAATTTCCTGAGCTGGGACAAAATGGCTGCTGTCTCCTGGTCTCAACAAACAATTTTTGAAATATTTTTACTCTATGAAAACAAGTTCCTATTTTATGCAGTTGAAGTTTTCCATACAAATATCTCATAATAAAAATATATTTTTTTTAACTCCCTCTTGAAAATTTCTGTGCTCTTTTTGTTTGCTTAGAACACAAATCTCTGTTTGAAAAGTCAAAGAAGAAACTTGGATAGAATCCAGTTAGGTAGTAACAGATACAGCATCCCTCAGGTTTCAAATGCAAATAAAATAGTAGAATTTTGAAAAAGGTTCATCTCCCACAGATATTTACTTAAAATAAGACTTATCTTTCCAAAAATTGTTTTGTGTAACACGAAATTAATTTCAGCTCAATTACTATTAGAACATCTGTTAGTTTCCCCCCATCCATCTGTCTTAAGCACTTCGAATGGCATCTGCTGTCAATCAAATAGGTTACATATCAAATGTCATCATAAAGACTCGAAAACAAGCCCAAGATATAAGAGTTAACTGTATAATATCTTTTTTCCAAATGGAGGAGTTATCCTTGCAGGTTTAATAAATCATGAAGGTCCTCACAACTGAAAATCAGCCAGTCAACCACTACAAGGATCATTTATTAATGTCTCCTAAAATGGAAATTTTATTGAAAATGATAAGTTGCTGGAGTGTTTTGTTTTGCTTAATTTTTGTTTGGGTTATGTTGGTGGTGGTGATTTTTTGATTGTTTGGGTTTTTGTAGTACAGAATTTAAAGAGATCAGTTAGAGAATGGGGTTGTTTATTGAAAATGGATTTTTAAAAATAAGTTCTTAAAGATTTAAGTGCTATAAGTTCAGAATTTTTGCTTACAACTAAAAAAGCCAGAAAAAAAGCTGTATTTTTATAATTATAGGATCTTTAAAGCAAATGCTATAGTACTGAGTATCCAAAATAATGTGCTGTGCTAAGAATGTATTGATTTAATCAGAAACTGATTAAAGACATAGAGGTGAACACTAAACAATAGGAGCAATGAGGGGTAAAGAACAAGAACGTTCATGAGAACTGTTTGCCCAGTTACTTACACTGTTTGTTCATCTACATGTCCTGTGTATATCTTTGAGAGAACCCAGTTGCTGATCTCTGGCCAAACATACAGTTCTGCAGTTGCATATTTGACAGAGTCCTGGCTGCCACACAAGCAGATCATGTGTGGAATATTGCAAGAACCATGGCAGCCTTGTGAATGTACTGAGCTGGTCTTTTGTGGCTAAGTAGCTGAACGTTTTACTAACATGACAAAATCTTCTGATTAGTGTAGCATTCATTAAATGGTGACAGATGCTAGTATTAATTACATGTTGAGCAGATCATTTTCCCATTACATTTCTTTTGTTACCAGCCTCATCATTCCAGTTATCAGCCTGCCCTATAAGCAGATTAAGCACCAGACTTTTTTTTTTTTTGAGGGTGGGGGATGTGTGTCTATATTCCTTGTTTGACCAAAATGAGTGACTGATCTTTCCTACACTACCCCACCATCTGGATTCCTCTCTTGCACTTTTCAAAACCTGTACTTATCATGTGTTAGACAATTTATAAGGAATGTTATTTTGAAAGGTTATTTGGGTGGCTCTCTCAAGCCATCTTACATTTAATGTTGGAAGCCATAGAATTAATCACTTGCCTTGTACAAACAGATAACATCTATTGTTTTTTGTGATAAACCTTGCCAAACTATAACTGGTATATCAAATAATAATTTGGCATTTAAAGATTGAAAAACATGTACAGTAAAAGGTATACGTGAAACAAGTTGCCATCTCTCATGTCAGTCTTGAACAAAAAGATTCCCACTCTATGTAATAGTACATGCACTCAAACAAAACAAAAACTATTCACCATTCCCATGAATACTAGGAGGATTCCTCAAACACATTTGATGGCCAAGAATGATTTTTTATTTATTATGTTTATTCTGACATGTACACCAACTTCTCCTTCATAACAACTCAGAGTAGCCCTGGAGAGGAAAAAAGGAAACAAATAAAAAAAAATTGAAAAGTACAAATGGGAAAGTCATTCATCTGGAAATAATTTCTGCCATAAACCAAAAGGTTATAAATTGAAAGTTGACAGAGGAGAAGGACATTGGAATAATAACTAATTGAAGGATGATCAAGAGTCATTAATGTGATTTTGGTAGAGAAAGTTAAATACAAACCTAAAATTTAAATCACCCAGGTTTTTTCAGAAGACATGGGGAAGTAACAATGCTTTTGCACATGGTACTTATTAGGCTTATTATTATTAAGAACAAAAGTATTAATGGGAATAAGTGCAATGAGAAAATGAGAGTGACCAAGAAGCAATGAGAAAATGAGAGTGACCAAGAAGCAGAGAGCCTGTTCCAGAAGTGGAGACTGATAAAACAAAACAAGCCCTATCCAGAGTGTGTAATTTATTAAATATATACAATATATCTCATATATATATACACACACATATACAGCATCGTTACCTACACAAAAGATATCCAAACGAAATAAATGTAAATGAATCTGCATAACTGCACTTCTAACCATCAGAGAAGTGATGATCTGGAGCAATTGTTCTGTGTGAAGTAGCAGAGGAAGAAAAGCTTCACTGCCTTTGAAACACATCAAATCCCATTTATGCTATGAAGATCTATTATGTAGCTGGATCAAACAGCAGGCACTGGGACTGAATGACCTGAAGTTGTCTCTTTCAGTCTTATTTTTCTGCAGTGGAACTGGCAGATGCCCACACAGGGAAAATATGTGGAATAGTTTCTGTGCATTTGTAAAATTATGATTGCTGACTTAAAATAGCTACTTGAAAAAAAATTATTTTTGCTGATGGCTCAGAAGATCTCTCCTTCCACACTATCCAGCTGGGTGAATTGTATTCTGTGAATGCTCATCATGTAACTAAGTTTCTTGCCCTAACACATTTTTAAGATCTTCTGTATTTGTACAGAATTTCTGGTTCTGTGACAGTTTGACTTTATAGTCAGCTGATACCTGGAAATCCTGGCCATGACCAGGGCCAGAAGCCTTGGAGCTTTTTAAGACATGCCCAGTGCATTTATAACTTCATCCTGGAGAAGCTGAATTTACTGCTCATGTAAAGCCCAAGTAGAGTGTTCAAAGAAGGGCAACACTGGACAGAATTATGGGAGCTTTCATACAAATCCACTATGCAGCCACGAACTCCCTTTTTGCTTTAAAGAAAACAACAACAGACAATTCTGAACCCACTCACTTCCAAGAACAGGGCTATTCAAAGTAGCTGGTTTCAGCATTCATGAAACCCTGTGCTAGATTGGAGGCTTAGACTGTGAGGCCTTTTAGGCAAAAACTGTTATTTATTAGGAAACTGCAAAATAGCACACTAGGAACGTGAGCCAATGACGAGGCCTCCTAACCCAGGATGGCTAAATATATTTTACATGAGACACAACTTGGAACATCAGTGATGCACATACCTTCAACTGCTATTTTTGACACAGGTCTCTTTGCAGGAGATTCCATAGCCTGTAGAAAGGTTAACTAAGCATCCCGAAGTTTTACATGTACAGAAGTTAAAACTGGAGACACTACTTATGTGAAGGTGTTTTGAGAGTAAGAAATTAAAATTTGAGTGAATTGGGAAGCTTTGCTGGAATCAGATGCATTAGCTTAAGAAAATATAGTGATATATTGAAATACCTACATTCACTGCACAATACTCAAATGATCTTACTGCCATAAAATCAAAGCTGAATTTTTAAAACAGTCCAAACTAGTTATTTTTCAATGACACCAGTTTCCTGGTAATGCTTTGTACAATAAGCATTTGCAGAATAATTTGAACTTACACTCATGGTTATGAAGCTTTTTTGCATGGTTTATGTTAACTGATTTTGCTTCGTTTTCAGGATATATTTGGGCAGCTGAAAACAAACCCAAGAATAGATACCTCAAGGGTGTGACAGGAAACATATGAGAACCAAAAACCTGAAGACAGAAATAATAACAAGAACCATCTTATTTTTATTATCCAAGGGCAAAAATGAATATCCAAGACACCACAACACTCAGTCACATTCCACAGACTTTCAGAGCACTGGTAGGATTCCTATGGGGTCAGTGGGACAGGCCCAGTACAAGACTTCAGCTACCCAAAAACACGTATTTCCCAGTTATTGTGCAGCAGTTCTTTCCTGAAAGAACGTATGTTCATTATTTTGGTCTTCTTTATGAAAACAAACTGAAAATTTCCTCCTAGTTTAAAAATATATTGTGGGTTTTTTTGGTTCTGGTGAGACATTTAGAAAACTTTCTCAGAAAAGTTTCTGAAACTTTACATTTTCTAAATTATTATGTTCAGCTTGAGACAAGCATTTTTGTTTGTCTCTTTAATAAATATAAAGTAAATAAACTGAAGTTAAAAAAGTCTCAAAATGAAACAAAGACTATATTTGTATTTTTATTTCATAATCTTATAAACTCACAGATTTGTTAAATTTCATTTATTTGTTAATTTGTTAAATTTCCTTTGTCCAACATTTCTCATTGATGATTCTATTAGATTATTCTGAAAAATACTCATATCACACATTTTGCAAGATATTTTAAAACAAAGGTTTAAAAAACTCTTCCAAGATATTTATTGTGGCTTATTTCCCTGTTTGAAAAACCAGTTATCTGCACTGGTGAAAGGCAGGACATATAACATCTCCAGGTACAATGTGGAAAATGTATACAGCCATCCCATTCCTAGATGCTAATTTCATGTTCTTGGAATGACATGTTAGATTATTGCTTACCCCTCTGCCTTAAGTGTGATTACCCTGAAAGTGCAGCTAAACTTATCTTTCTTTAGAAGGAATACTTAAAGATTTGTTGTTTATTTGCGTTAAATGTCACAGCACATTTATTTTTTTTGAGGCATTTCTGAGAGTAAACTTATGTCTGCTTTAAAGGTACAAAATCAGGACGTGTATATACTACTTCGCGAGGTTTCTAACTCATATTTCTCTTTCCTCCTTTCCGCTGGCTCCTCACCCAGAGCCCATCCCACAGGCTCGGGAAAGCCCAGGAGGAAGGAATCTCCCACATACCGAGGCTCCCGGTCTAGACGCACTTCGGCCCATGCCTGCAAATACCTTTTTGGTAGCCAGCCCTCAGGCAGCCGGGCGTTCCCAGCCCCCAGGAGGCCCGACCAGCGGCACTCACTGGGGGCGCCTCCCGGGTCGCTTCCTGGCAGCGTTAACGGGGCTCTCGTCCTGCTCCGGCACGGAGGGGCTCCTTCCCCAAGGACAAGCCCTCGCTAAAGGCGCTGCCGCCTCAGGCTGCCGCTCTGCCTGCCTTCCTTCCTGGGCGGCGGAGAGAGCGGCGGCCCCGCGCGGCTCCGGCGCCGCCATTTTGGGACGCTGGCGGGAGGTCTCCATGGCAACCAGGAAGGGGCGGACATCGCGCGGGGTCACCGCTAGCCCGGCCCCCTCTTAAAGGAGCAGCCGCGGCGGCCCCGCGGTGCCGGGCAGGGTCTGACCCCCGCCGCCAGTGCCACCAGCGACCCGCGCCCCGGCCGCCCCGTGGCCGCCCCGAGGGGGGACGTTCCCGCGGACCCGAGGTGACGACCCCGGCGGAGGGATACCGACCGCCGCCGGCGGCTTCGCCGAGCGCAGCGAGCGGGCCGCGCTCCGGGACGCGGCGGGGGCTGCGCGGGGGGCGGCAGCCGGGGCAGGGGCCGCCCGCCGGCCCGGGGCGCGCGCGGGCCCCGGCGGGGCCCCGGCGCCGGGAGAAAGTAGTCCCGCGGCCTCCCCCTCGCGCCGCTGGAAGGGGTTCGGCGGCGGAGGCGGCGGACGAGGCGTCGCTCGGTGCTGCGGCTTCAGCTGATAATTGAAGGGAAGCGAGGCGGCTGCTGCCGGGAGGAGGGAGGCACGGAGCGTCTGCGGAGGCCGCACCGGGACAAACTAGGTACCCGGGGCCCCTCCGCTCGGTCGGGGGGCGCCGGGGAGGCGGGCGCGGGGCGGCGGGGCGCTCGCCGGGCCCCTCGGCGACTCCGGGCCGGGCCTGTTGTGTCATCCTGGCATTAGACGAGCTGCCCTTCCTGGCGGCCCGGGGCAGGGGGAGGGGAGCGGCGCCATCCCGGAGCATTGTTGCAGATGGGGGTGGGGGGGCGAAGGGGAGCCGGGAACGACGCGGCGCCGCGCTGGTGAGTGTGTGGGGCGGCCCGGAGGGGTGGAATGGGGCCCTCGCTGTGGAGGGAAGGGGTGGAAACGGAGCTGACAAAATGGCCAGGCGGCCCCCGAGCCCGCTGCAGGGGCATCCCTCGCCCCCCTAGCCCGGGCAGGGGTGCCGGGGGCCGCCTGGCCTTTCCCGGGCCGCCTGGTGGGGAGGGGGCGGCAGCGCGGCCGCCCCTCGGCGGGCCCTGTGTGGCTGCTGATACAAAAGGGCAGTGTCAGTGTTGACACTGCCGTGCCGATTTCGATGCCCTTCCATGTCTTCCCTCCCCCACTCCGCTTGGCCCCCTTTTCCATAGTGGTCCTTTCTTTCCCACCCCCTTATATTTTTTTCCCCTCTAAAGAAACTAGGGAATATCTTAAAGGAAATATAGCAATTTATTTTTCTTTTCCTCCTGCCCAGCTCGGTAAAAATGCTAAACAATCGGCCGACGTCCATATTTCACAAGCTTTTTTGGGGGGAGGAAGAAGGTGGGCAGAAAACGGAGGCGCCCGTGGGGTCGGAGTCACAAAGCTGGCTGCCCACGAAGGGGATTATTTTCGCAGCTAAATGTTTTCGAGCTGATGTTTTTCTTGTTTTCAGTCAAGAAGCAAGTTGTTGCCTGGTTCTTGCGTTTGCTTGCATAATGCGTCGTACTTGGAGGCTGATCAAACGCTGGGCTCTGCCTTTCCTGCCTGGCTCTTCCTCCTTCCCTTTTCCCGGGGGGCTGGGTCGTGGGACAGGTTAGAGGGGGCTGGTGGCGCTGGGGCTCCCGGCTGCTGCCCCGCGGATCCGGGGAAGGGAAGGAACCGAGGCCGGGGCTCTCGCCAGACCTGCAGGCCTGTCTTCCTGTGTCCAACTTTTTTATTGTTCCCCCTTCCCCCTTCCGAGTGCACGGGCTCTCCGGCAGGCGGGGGTTTGCACGGCTCGGGAGTCCCAAAGTCTAGACGGGGAACCGGAAAATAATAGGGGAAAGAATGGAAAGTTGTGTCAAGGGCTTTGGGGGAAAAACATCGACGTATCGAACAAAGGTCCTGCCTGTGTTGGAGAGAGAGGCCTGCATGTGAGGCCTGATTGTGTCGCATTTACACACGGGGAAGAAATGAGTGCTTGGTACTGGCCTAAATTTATTCTGTAAGTCTAGCATGGAACTTAGGAATGCTTTCAGAGAGTGTGTAGTTTGTTTTGGGAGAGTTTTTATTATGTGTAGCAATCCAGTAATGGTTTTTATTTTAAAACCTTTTTTTTCCCCTAAAAAGACAGTTCAGGTTGTTTTTGTTTTTTTTTTTTTTTTTCCTGCCTTGTTCAGCAGAAATAATACTGATTCAGAGCTTCTAACACTGTAATACAAAACTTAGACTAACTTCCACAGTTTGTGTTGCATGTATTATGAATTTTGAGCTTCCTGGTTCTTTAAAGGCTGCCATAAAGAGGAGTTCAATAGTTACCAGCTGATAAATTTGAAGTACATCTATCATAATGAGAAAGAAGAGGAATTCTGAGCACTTAAATTAATTTTTCAAGATTTTCTTGTGTGAACTGACACTGTAGGTATTCTTTTGCATGACTTTAAAAACTAGCAAGCATTCCTGTGATTATTTCTGTTTATCTCTGGTGTAGTCTCTTCGGTTCTCCCTCTTCCACTCTCAAAACTAGAGTTCTCATTGTACAGGGTTGGGGTTTTGGTTTGGTCTTTTTTTTTTAATTTTAAATTAAAAAAAAAAAAGGTATTCAATTTATGTGGTTTCTGAGATTTATTAAGATTTTTGATAAGCTAAAAGTTTTTAAACAAGTTGTATTTTATGTATGTAAAAATATACACAATGGGCATGAAAGCATGATGAGAAATAACTATAGTTTTCTATTTTCTGGTAGTCTACTTAATAAATATGTATAGGAATTAAATGTATATTATGAAAATACCAGTTAAAATATCAGTTTGCAGCTGATATTTTAACAAAATATGTTGTATTTGAACTAAGAAATTTAAAAACAGTAGTCTGGTGAATAAATTCTGAAAATAATGGTTAAGTTTTTGACAATATACATGTTTTTAACTCGCAGTAGTTTCTGTATTTGTAAAATGGAGCTGATTGTCAGCTGCTCAGTTCTTTTGATCTTAAATGCAAAGGTGTTTTTAAATTTTATTGTTTGGTGTATCTTACTGTTGTGTTAGAAATACAGGTAATCAGATTTTTTTTTTCCCCTTTCTTAGGGTTTTTTCTGAGAAAAATGAGTAGTACACTTGAATTAACAACTTTTAAGTCTTCAGTCTCCAGATGGTTGCATAGGTAGGAACCTAAACATGTCTTAGCTTTTAGTGGAAAGACTGTAGGTCATCCACATTGTGACATTACTGCTTATTAATATAGCAGATCTACTTCAGTAGGAGTGCCAACCTGTTGAGTAAGAGCTTAGGAAAATGGAGTCTTTTTATGTCTTGCAGAAGTTTTTCAGGTCAAAGTGACCATTAGGGAAATATTCTGCATCTTCCCAGTAAATGAATACTCCAAGCTGTCATTCCTAATTGGGAATCATGCACAAGTTTTTGTGGTTTTTTTTTTTTTTAAGTTTTCCTTTTTGTGTTGTACTTTGACTGTCTTCAAACCCAGAGTGTAAATATTACAGAAAAAAAGTGCAATGAAAACTTGTTCTTATAAAATCATTCCTAAATTTGAAGTCTAAAGCTGTAGGTGACAACAGCACTATTCCTTCTGCAGCAGTGTAACAAAAATAAAATGCATTTGTTTTTAATGCCATCAGTGGAGACATGATCAATTTCCATGTGGATCCTTACATCACTGATAAGTCCAGTTACTTCTCTGCAGCAGTCCAAAACTATAACCTGACTAAATTCCTTTTCATTTTGAAGTGATGAAGCAGAAGTAGGAAAGTCAGTGAGAAAACTGCATGTTGGTACCTAATTTGCAGCTAAATGAATCTCACAGCTATGTTAATCTTGTCTTTATAGGCCATGCTATATTTTCTAACAAAGTAGTTGGTAAGCATCATATAGCGCACTTTCGATCATGGGTCTGTCTTTTGTCACACTGAGGCTAAATTACTGTGACAAAGTATAATCAGGTACTGAAGTACAACATGGTGAACAAATACAGTATTGCTTAAAACTTAACCCAGAATGTTTCTGGGATCTCCCATTGCCTGTTGGATGATCAGTGTCCTGTTCATCACCTGTCAAATTAGTAACACCCCTCATAATGCACTCTGTTGACTCTTTAATGCTATTTTCATCAAGGTGTCACTGCCCCATTCAGTACTGACTCTGAAGGTAGTAGCACATTGGATTTTTTTTTAATAGAGTAGCTAAAAGTTACTCAAAGTAATTAGCATTGGGTGAGTATGCTTAGTTTTATGAAGAAGTAATATTTTAAATGTGCTCTTAATCACTACATTGTATCACAGCAGATTTATGGCAGTATATGAAGGAACTTCTTACTGAGGGTTTCCATAGCTCAGTTTTAACTTAGGCCATGAGGTTGATAGCTGCAAAACAAAGTCATACTAACTTTTTTCCTTGGTGTATTTTTTTTCAATTTATATGGAATAAAGTGCTTCTCAAGGAGCAAAAATATTTTCAGAGTTCTAAGTGGTGAGCAATAATGAAAAAAGTGCTTGTATGAGCCACTTGGCTCAGGTTCATTTTTTTTAACAAAACAGTTGCTGAATTCATGTTTTAAAGTTATCTTCTGTAAATAAAGAAATTTTAGCTACTTAGAAATTTTAGTACAGTGTCTGTGGAGGACAGGGCTAAGTCTACTGGCTTCTCCTGTCTGCTTTCAGATACAATGGTTGCTTTAGTATGAAGTTCAGTTTGAGGAGCAATTGTTCTCCTAGTCCTGCCATCAAGCTGAGTCCAACTGTGTAAATATGCATATTCTCCTTCTATTCTGTCTGGCAGCTAGGGTTCGAGCACACAAAACCAATCTGTTTACTCTCCTCATCTGTGATGATGCTTGTCTTGCAAGGTACTGACTGTTGCCAGTCTAAGTGGACTCATGGAGCTACTTGGTACAAATATGGCAGCAAACTGCCCTGAGAGCAGTAGATGGTCAACTCTGTAAGGAAAAAATGGAAATATTGTTTTAATATAGGAGAAATGGAAAACTTAGGTTTATTATCAAGAAAGTTAATCATGATGGTTTAATATTGGACTTGAATATTGAAGATGCATGAGAAATACTAGCAATG